AAAGCCAAAAGTCATTCCCAAACTAGGCTTTTTAGCCCCAGACTAAAATAACCAAAAAAGTCAAAAAGCCAAAAACCAACCCACTTCCCAAACCATCCCTAAAGATGAAACATTTACCATTTTATCATCACAAAATTTTCAAGCGCCCAAAATCTTATGTTCAGTCAAAATGAGATGTTTACAGCTATATGTTTGAATCATATTTATTTTTAAAAATGGATGACAAATATAATTTCAGGAATCACTGAAGTCGATTCTAAACTTGACCTATCAAGTTCAAACGACCTCTCGAGTTGAGAGGGCCGACATAAGAAAATTCCAATCCTATAAAAATAGAGAAAATTGTTAAAAAGTCCAATTTAAAGATGGTGTAAGGCCTTTAAGTCCTATGGGTATTTTGTTTTGGTGAAAAGTATACTCTTTGTGAAATAATGTGATAAGAAGTACATTTTGTTATTTTGGAGGATGTTTTATTTCTAATTTTACCCCTTAATCTATCTGTTGAAATTTTTTATTTGTTGATTTTTCAATTTTTTCCATATCTGTTCAATTTTTATCTGCTCAATTTTTTATCTATTCAAAGTGAAATTAAATTTTCTTATCTATTGAAACAAATTTGATCTTTAGTTTTATCTGTTGAAAATTAATTGAAAAACAAATTTCAAAGTTAAGCATTTTAGATTTGAATTAAAATCACATTTTACAGCCCTTTGCAAACCCAGATATCAAATCCAATAACATACTAAAATTTGCAACGCAAAAAGAACAAAGGTCCAATCTCATTTCCAATAGAGAGACTAAAACATGAATACATGAAATAAAGATCAAATCTAAACTTAGTCTATTCAACAGATCAAATCTATAAACATATGTAACGCTAGGGTTTAATTCATTGATTTAGCTTTATAGAGAGAGATGAAGATGGAGGGGACTTAAATCCTGATTTACAATCTCCACCGACAGTGGCAATACGTCAACGACACATCGTCTCTATCGCAATGGTGGTCTAGATCTAGCGATCGCTCATAGACTTGATGTATTTGAGTGTCTGTCTCAGCCTTTATGCCGGCCAAGGCAACGGATATGTAGCAAAGCTTGCATTGAGCGGTGGTGTGCTTTTGCTTAAGAGTAACGTGTGAGAACCCGAATATAAAAATTAAGTAAATAATTAAATAATAATATTACAATCTCAAATATTTTGGTGGTGAATTTTAAGGTGCAAATTAAATATTATTGGAGGATCCTTTAATTAATTTTTAAACCTAAAATAAATTTATGGTGAAAGTCATTGATTTAGAGGCAAGATTTATTATTAAAAAAAAAAAATAGAGAAGAGGGTGTGACTTGAACTCTAGACCATAAAATTAATAAGTTAGGCTCTTACCATTTGAGTTGCATGTAACTTATATATGTATTTTGTATATTTATCTATCTATTTGACCTAAGTGTGCCCAACACTAGTATAAAATAAAATAAACACAATCCCTAACTCTTGTTATAATTGTTTTCCACAACACTAGCAGCCCTAGCAGCCGTGGGTTTATGAAGGAAAGAGAGGGGTTTTTCAATCATCAAGATTATTGTTGTAGCCAAGAAGGAGAGCTTTGGGTGTGTTGTGCTGTGTGGCCTCCTAGGTTTTCTTCTCTTCTTTCTTTGTTTTTCATCCTTATTCTATAATTATTTTATTCATTCATGGAGAGGTTGTAGGTTTATGTATTTTGTATATATATGCATACACTGTTAAGAAATCTGAGGAGCTAAATTTATGTGTAAAGAATGGGTGTTATTCTTAGTTCAAAAATTCTGCACAGAATCGCAAACTTTAGAAATCAAGAAACCATATCAAACGGATGAATTTTAATATGAAATTTTTACAGTAGATTAATTACATATTGAATTGCATATCTGATTTTTTTCATAATTTTTGGGAGTCGAAATCCATATAAATTGAGGTATTCAAATCTGTTCAGGAAACCAGTTCGAAACAGTAAATTCGGGAGTGTTGTTCTCTTTGGGTGTGTTTGATTGGGGGGATAAGGGGGGGACTATCCACTGTTTGGACTCCATGTCCGGCTTCCCTCCTTATCCGTCGTTTGATTTTTTTTTAGTCCGGCGGACTCCATGTCCGGCCGGACTCCATGTCCCCCATATGGGGGACTATCCTATCCTGGGGGGTGGGATTGTTTTGGGGGGACTAATCACTATTTGGATTAGATGCGAAAATGACACAAAATATCACATCCAACTCATAATCATTACATTCTTTCTCTCACAAAAAAAAAAGCCAAAAAATTCAAAAAAGCCAAAAGTCATTCCCAAACTAGGCTTTTTAGCCCCAGACTAAAATAACCAAAAAAGTCAAAAAGCCAAAAACCAACCCACTTCCCAAACCATCCCTAAAGATGAAACATTTACCATTTTATCATCACAAAATTTTCAAGCGCCCAAAATCTTATGTTCAGTCAAAATGAGATGTTTACAGCTATATGTTTGAATCATATTTATTTTTAAAAATGGATGACAAATATAATTTCAGGAATCACTGAAGTCGATTCTAAACTTGACCTATCAAGTTCAAACGACCTCTCGAGTTGAGAGGGCCGACATAAGAAAATTCCAATCCTATAAAAATAGAGAAAATTGTTAAAAAGTCCAATTTAAAGATGGTGTAAGGCCTTTAAGTCCTATGGGTATTTTGTTTTGGTGAAAAGTATACTCTTTGTGAAATAATGTGATAAGAAATACATTTTGTTATTTTGGAGGACGTTTTATTTCTAATTTTACCCCTTAATCTATCTGTTGAAATTTTTTATTTGTTGATTTTTCAATTTTTTCCATATCTGTTCAATTTTTATCTGCCCAATTTTTTATCTATTCAAAGTGAAATTAAATTTTCTTATCTATGGAAACAAATTTGATCTTTAGTTTTATCTGTTGAAAATTAATTGAAAAACAAATTTCAAAGTTAAGCATTTTAGATTTGAATTAAAATCACATTTTACAGCCCTTTGCAAACCCAGATATCAAATCCAATAACATACTAAAATTTGCAACGCAAAAAGAACAAAGGTCCAATCTCATTTCCAATAGAGAGACTAAAACATGAATACATGAAATAAAGATCAAATCTAAACTTAGTCTATTCAACAGATCAAATCTATAAACATATGTAACGCTAGGGTTTAATTCATTGATTTAGCTTTATAGAGAGAGATGAAGATGGAGGGGACTTAAATCCTGATTTACAATCTCCACCGACAGTGGCAATACGTCAACGACACATCGTCTCTATCGCAACGGTGGTCTAGATCTAGCGATCGCTCATAGACTTGATGTATTTGAGCGTCTGTCTCAGCCTTTATGCCGGCCAAGGCAACGGATAGGTAGCAAAGCTTGCGTTGAGCGGTGGTGTGCTTTTGCTTAAGAGTAACGTGGGCGACGGCAAGGCACTAGTAATTGAAGAGGAGGGATTGGATTTTACGGTGGTGAGATCCTATCATGGTCGCCTTTATGGTTCACGATTTGTTTAGATTGACAATGATGATGGTGGTGGTTAGAGTCAACAGATCAAAGATGAAGAAGATGAAGAGGAGAAGAGAAATATGGCAAAGCTTGTGCTGGACGGTGATGAACTTCTGCTTAAAAGCCACGTAGGAGGCGGTAAGGAGCTGGTTGTCGAGGAAGAGGGATTGGATTTTATGGTGGTGAGATCCGATCATCGTCACCTTTATGGTTCATGATCTGTTCAAATCGGCAGTGACGAGGTGGTGGTCAGAGTCAAAAGATCAAAGATGAAGAAGAAAGAGAGAGAGAGAGAGAGAGAGAGAGAGAGAGAGAGAGAGAGATGCAATGAGAGAAAAAAGAGGGGTTTGGAAATCAAACCATGTATACAATATATATATACACATGGGTATTTTTGTCATTTCGATTAAGTATATCTTTATGAATAAAGTATTTTAACATGTGAATTTTTTATCAAACAAAATTTAAACGGGTACTTGGTCTACAAATCTAAATCTAGATCTTTTGCCCAAAAATCCACACTACTATTATGTCCATAAGGACATACGGTTACAAAATGACCAAATTACCCATAGGAACCAATTCACGGAGGTGGACATAAGAAAGAGAAATAAAACCCTAATCTTGTTTCTGTGTGTGTGTGTGTATGTACACGTGTGCCTACGTGTGTGTGTATATATATTATGTATCAAATTTTGATCAAATAAGAATGAAAATATGATTAGATAAGAAAAATATGCTTTTTAAATTTCAATAGATAGGAAAAATAGGCTTGATAAATTTTAACAGATAAGGAAAATAAGGTTGGTGAATTTCAATAGGTAAATACAAGTTTGAAAGGATAAGTTCGAAAATTTGAACAAATAAAAAAAGAAAAGAAAGGATTTTGAATAGATAAAATAAATATTAACAGATAGGTTCAAAAACATTAAACAAATAATAAAAAATTCAACAGATAGATTAAAGAGTAAAATTAAAAATAAAATATAATTCAAAATAATAAAATAAATTTCACACTACAATATTTAGGCCAAGTTTGGGAAGACTAAATAAGTGCACTTTTTGACTTTTTATGAAATATGGGTTGGGTTTGGGTTGGGTTTGAAGTGATGTGTTAGAGAGGTGATGTGACTTAAATAAGATAATGTGATTTAAATAGGATAGTGACTTTTTGACTTTTTGGATTTTTTAAGAGTTGCCAAACTTGGCCTTAATAAAGAATGAATTTCTTAATAAAAAAGAAATCATGAGATCTAATATCTTACATTCTTTTTAAAAATAATAAAATAAATTTCACACTACAATGGTAATGGTCTGCCGCAAAACAGAGAGTTTCATACACGCGAGTCTACTTTCGGGCGCAGCAAGGCCAAGCCTCAAATCAACTACAATGATCCATTTTTGTCTCATTCACCCCATCTCCACGAACATCGAGCCACAACTTTTACCACGTGTCATTCCATCCATCCGTCCATTCACTTCCCTCCCCTTCCCTCGATTCTAGTTTCATACCTTCAAAACCAAAAGTCTTCCCCCACCAAGAACTTTCTCACACCTTTTCTCTCCTCTCTCGCCGTAAGCAATCTACCGACACCTCTCTCTCTCTCTCTCTTTAGATATATCAGTAATGTTGTGTGTATGTACGTGTGATAATCTCCTCCCTCTGTGTTTCTCTCTAGAATGAGATTAGAGCCGTGAAAACAACTTTTGACAATGGCGTTCCACGACCATCTCTCCCAAGAAATGGCTCTCCAGCACTTCGCCGACCAACACCTGGCAGACAACACGGCGGTTCTACGCGGGATGTTGCCGGACCAACTCCACCACTCCTCCTCCGATGCTCCCGGAAAGCACTCCGCCGGAGCTCCCACGTGGCTCAACAGCTCGATTCTTCGGCAACAGAGCCACAACCACCACTACGGCGGCGGCGACGGGAGCTTCCTCCACCTGCAGACGACAATCACCAATTCGGACTCGTCGGCGTCGAACCAGTGGCTATCGCGGTCGATTCACGGCGAGAACGACGACGTTCCGGAGATTGCTGCGGCGGCGATGAATCAGGAGAAGAAGGCGAGTCGACAGAGCGAGAGTGATGGTAGTGGTGAAGAGACAAATTGGCAAAGCGCCAAGTGCAAAGCGGACATATTGAACCATCCTCTGTACGAGCAGTTGCTATCTGCACATGTTCAGTGTCTTCGTATAGCCACTCCGATCAATGAGCTGCCGAGAATCGATGCTCAGCTTGCTCTGTCTCAGCATGCGGTGGCCAAATACTCGGTTCTCGGACATGGTAATCAGCCTCTGGATGACAAGGACCTAGACCAATTCATGGTAACTCCTCCTCTCATTCCTAATTTGTGTCCTTTTGTGCATGCATATCTATTCAAAATCATTTTTTGTTTTAATTTATTAATTTTTGGAATTAATTGACCCTTTTAACAATTGTGCTTTTCGTTCAAGCAGACAATTAAGGGAAGTTTCTAGCAAGAATGAAGAAGAATGTGTTGAAATGTTTTACAATTGTGCTTTTTTGAAGATATTTAATTAAGTTAGAACTGTACTGAATATAATTTTGTAATGGAGTTTAGCTTTTATGATGCAAATCGGAATGTCCAATTGTCGCATCATGAGAGGAATCATTTTGTTTGGTACACTAATTATTGAGACTTTGGGAGAGTGCTCTGGGGAATCTCTTTCGTTTGTACTTATCCACTTGTTGCATGGTTTGGTCTTTGTTGTGTTCTAGAAAAAAAAAAGTTGCTCTTGTTCCAAAAATGAATCAGAAAAATTTTCGGACAAAACTTTCATGCACTTGGAAGGAATCCATCCACTCCTTCACATCCAATATGGAATGAGCACCAAATGGAGCTTTAATTTTGGAGCACAAGTCATCCTTAGTTAAATGTTGGAGCTATTGATTTATGAAAGATAAAGATGATGTTAAGTCAGTTATTAGTAGTAGTTCAAAGTTAATGTTCCCTCTGTGACTTTAATTATATTCTTAGGTCAAGTTTGGCATGATTGAAAAAAGACAAAAAGTCAAAAAGTTACTATCCTATTTAAGTCACATCATCTTATTTAAGTCACATCACCTCTCTAACACATCACTTCGAACCCAACCCAAACCCAACCCATATTTCATAAAAAGTCAAAAAGGGCACTTATTTAGTCTTCCCAAACTAAGCCTTAATTACTTGTAAATTGTTATGCATAGATTTTGAAGCTTTAAGGTGACAAAAAGGCCTTCTCAATGCTGATTCATACTTTCCACTTGGTGATTAGTATGCTTTCTCGGAGAATTTTATAATTCCTTGTGTGCTCAAAAAATGCCTAAGAATACTCCAGCTTCCTAGTTGATAAAGTCAACAACTTTTCTAAGCTAACTTACTTGAGATCTTAGTTACACTTTCCTCAAAATGTCATCCAAATTTTGTTAATGTTTTGCAGAATGCAATTAATTATTATTTTGCAGCTATGAAGCATGGACACTTCAGAATAGGCACCATAGTAGCATCAGACACAGGGACACGCTAGGGATACTACAGGACACGCTAAATGGCGTGTCTCCTTAATTTTATTTTATTTTTTAATTTTTTGTAGGGGACACGCCATTTTTTTATTTTTATTATTATTTTTTTGGTAGGGGACACGTTAGGGACGTGCGCATGTTCAAATATGGATAATCTATTAATTTTTATTAAAATGTAGGTGTTTATATATATATTGAATTAATGTTAGTTTTTATTAATTTTGATTATTTGGTAACATGATATTAATCTACATAGAAAATATATATAATAAAAATAATAATAATTTGCCGGGTCCCCCACCGTGTCTCCCACCGCGTCTATGTCCCCATTTTTTTGAAATCACCATGTCCCGTGTCCGTATCCGTATCTATGTCCATTCATAGTTTTGTAGTTTCTCCAAATTTTATTAAAATTAAAAAGAAATAATCTTTCTTTACTTCAAAGTTTTAAATTCCGTTAATAGTATTCTTGTTGATTTAAATCTTCCTTTGAATTTGTTTGGATTTTTCTATTGATTGAAAATGATAACATTCTTTAGAACAATAATCAACGGAAAAATTCAGTAAAATTTTCTCTTTTTTTTTTTTCTTTTTTTTTATCAGCAAAATTTCCCAGAAATTAATGGTTGTTATTGTTGGCCATGTAGCGATAAGGCTGTTAGTTCTTTCTGAAATTGTGTGATACCTGTTGTGCATATTAGTCGAATTATTTCCATTTTTATGCTTTGCTTCCCTGCTAAAGCTGTGAATCAGTTGGGTCATTTAGTTATTGAGGAAATAGTTTGACAGATTTCATCTGAAAGCTTTGTAGTCCTTAGCATCATATTATGCAGCAAAATATGTCTATTATTTTCATGTACAAACACATTTGTTGATCAGTTTGATATCATGAATTTTGTAGAAATTCAGCTGTGTTGATAATTTTTTTGGGCATGATCAATTTTTCCATATTCATCTGAATCTTCCATTTTCTTTTTCCTCTGTTCTTCCTGATGTAGACACATTATGTTCTGTTACTCTCTTCCTTCAAAGAACAATTGCAACAACATGTCCGTGTTCATGCAATGGAAGCAGTGATGGCTTGTTGGGACCTTGAGCAATCTCTACGAAGCTTAACAGGTGATCTCTTATTGGTTTTTACTTTGTTTTACTATACACATTATGATTGGTAATTGCATATGTCTGGTACGATAACTCTAGTAAATAATTGAGATTCTAACATTTGTCATATACTTTTGTTTGATTTGCGAATTAATTATAACAGCTTGTCCTACCTTTTTCATTATGTTCGCTGCTCTCATACCTTTGCATTGTGTCCGCTGCATTCAATCCTTTTTGTCCGGATCTTTTTACTTTGAGACTGTGTCAGATTTGCAAAGTTTTTAAAATTTGCAATTCCCTTGGTTTTTTATTTTTTATTTTTCGTTCTAGTTACATGTTTTGTTTTCGAACCATGATGTGAAGTTAATCGCTAAATAGACTATACACAAATTAACAAGCAGTGGTCTTCCACAAAAGTTAGGAGAATCAGTGTCATATCAACTCTGGTTGTTGCTTTGAGGGGTTTAAGTTAAGTTAAATGTTAAAATATCTCGTCAAATGTGAAGGCCAAAGCCAACATATGGAGCATCCCAATAGTTGTCGAACAAACAATGCCATAGGACTCCTAATAGTGGACTGATTAGTTCATGTTGTTCCAAGTCAAATTTAGTTGTAAAATGAAGTTTAAACATTAATTAATGAGCGCACCAAATAATAATAATAATAATACAAATAAAATAAAAAAACACAATTAGTGATGTGCCTTAGTTTGGTAAGGAGTTGAATAATGTTCAAATTAGACTAAAAATTTATGTTTAGTTTCAATTTCTTATGGTTTTATGGACTAACTTGTTCATGTACTTAGTGAATTTTGGTTAGATTACAAATTTATTGAGTTTAGTTTCAATTTCTTATGGTTTTATGGACTTATTTATTCATTTACTTGGTGAATTTTGGCATAATTATAAATGAGGGTACTATTGAGTCCGTATTGAAGGAAATAAGTTTACCAACTGGGGCATATCCAGTTTGACAAGATCCTTCCACTTTACTAGAAGGCTAAAAAGTACGGACACGGACACGGACACGAATGCAGGCATGGGACACAATCACTTAAAAAAAAAAAATGGGGACAACACATGGTGGGACACGACAATGAAATATTTTTTTATAAATATATTTATTTGCTATGTAGATTAGTATTACATCCACAAAAAAATGTATATTTGCTATGATTGTATATATAATGTGCAGTATAGATTTATCAGGTTTTCATTGATTGTGAAATTACTTATATGAAACAAGATTGAAGATTTTGATGGTTTGGACAATTCGGGAAACTTGGGTTTGCTCAAGTTTGATTTGTTGGTCTTTGGCTGGGCTTGGGTTGATAAGATTGGGTTGAAGGTCGAGCTTGGGAACCTCTTTCAGCACAATTTGGTCTAGACTTGGGCAATCCCCAAACCCGCCTGAGTTGCACCCTATATTGAACCCATAAAAAACTAGGTAGAAAATAGAAATTTAATATAATAAAGATAAATGATGTTTCTTTTAAAATATAAAAAAATAAGACAAAAGTGTTTTTCAATCAGGCCGAACCGCTTTGATCTTGGGTCCATCTAGATCATGATTGCAACCAAAGACATTTTAAAGTCTTGTTTGGATACGAGTAGTCTCAAACATGTTTGTTATGGTTTATTGTCATGGCCGAAAACAGGCCTTTTGGCTCAATTTTTGTGTCTAAACTCAAATCCAGTAGTGTATAAATTATTTGTTTCATTCACTTGAATTAGATCCCCGAGAGCAGTTTAATATCTTGTAACAAAAGGAGTATGAGCCATTTTTGCTTCCTAGTTTATCTAGATTTGGGTCTCCTTTGTATGGGGTTCTTGGAGAATATGGTTCATGAATGTTCAAATGTTTTCAACCTTGGTGAAAAAAAAGTTGTTAACATGGCCAAATGTGAAGTTATAGATTAATTAATCGTGTCATGCATTGAATTGTGATACGATATGAAATCTTAAGGCACATAAACATATCTCACCATGCAAGGTACTAACGATACATATCTTTTTTCATATGATACAATACAAATCATATGATGTGTGGTGTGTATTGTATGATTCCAACAACGAACCAGTTAGAGCAAGGGTATGGATTGTGTATTTAGTGTCATTCCAATGAAAATTAGTGTAACTCTGTAATTCTTACATGTGAAAATACAATTGTACTGCATCATTTATGTACAATTGTAAAAGTATGTATTTGATTGCATTTAGGTTGTCCAAGGCTTGAACCCATCCCAGACCAATTTTAGCTCCAACCAAGTTTACAATTCTCAAACCATAATGTCCCCCATCTATTAGGAAGTGTTCGAAGTTCAACACAATCAAGTTGCAGTCCCACCTGCCTACAAAATTCAGCTGTGTTGACTTGTTGATACTTCTTTCATTTGTTTGAAAAATAATGACTCCTCTTCAGCATTTCATTCGTTAGTCTAGATTGCTGTCTGCTTTTACAAGAAGTTTGTTTGTTTGTTTTTCACTTTTGCTAATTTCATGGTAAACTGCCTATTGCCTTGCCTGCTGTCAAAAATGTTTTTCTGATGCATTATTTTATGACATTTTTTCCCCCGTCCCTTCATAATTGATATGAATATTACACTTGGGTTGGGTTCACGTATGACAAGGAAAGCAACAAAATTTGGAGACATAGTGGGTGTTTGGAAAGTGAGTTTTTATGTAGGTTTTTTTAGTTGTAAGATTTTGTTGAAGAAAATTTTTTTGATGTTTGGGAAGATAGTTGAGTTTTTTTTTGGTTGGGTGTGATGTTTGTAAGAAAAAAAGTGAAATGATTATGGTGTTGGATGTGATATTTTGTTTGGATTTGTTTTTTTTGGTTTTGCAAAAAGTTTGTCTTTTAGTGAAAAAAAAAAAAAAAATTTAGGGAAAAAAAAAAAAAAAAAAAAACCAACACACAAACTTCCCAAACACCACCGTATATTTGGTTTCTATTTCTGACCCCATTTCTGATTGTTTTCTATATTATGATCGTGTCAAATCCTGTTTTTCAGTCCACTAAAACCTTGCGGAGATGCTTTTGGTTTCTGCCAATAAACCATTTATGCAGTTTCTATTCATCATTTCATTTTCCTTGGTTTGGGTTTCTAGTTACTATTATTATGGTTATTGTTGTTGGTTTCCAACTGTCTGGATAAGAAAATTCATTCTTCCATTTGCAAGACTTGAATATATTGGTCATAACCTATGAAGGATGGGTACTTCGAAAAACATGTTGTACCCGTATTGGGTACTTACCGGCGTATGGTACCTCATATTGTACTTCTACATATATACCAGGTACACGAAACACGTATCCAATTTTTTTTTTCTTAATTTTTGGCGTATCCAGACGTATCTAGTATATACCCAAGACGTACTGTACCACTATAGAGATAAAATTCCTTTCACTAAACTTCTTTTTTATTTTTAGTTTATACTTAGTATGATTTTAAAATTAAACTATGGCTTGTAAGTTATTTAATATATTGACATTTAATTTTGATTTATATTTTTACTTTTGACATTAAGGCCTCGTTTGGGAACCCTCCTTTTTAGCCAAAAAGCCAAAAAGTTATTAAATTAGCCAAAAAGCCAACAACCCATACCAAAAAGTCAAAGATTCTCTTTTCTCTCTACTTTTTGCACATCTTTTCGTAAAAAGCCAAAAATTCATCCCAAACATACTAGTTTTTTTTAGCTCATATTTTAGCCAAATAGCCAAAAAGTTACTAAATTAGTCTGTTCCCAAACGAGACCTAAATGTTAATTATAGGTTGGATCTTAACAAATTAAATCATTTAATTAATTTTTGCATTATTCTAAATTAAAAATAAATATTTTTTTACAAGTGTACCAAACTGTACCCGTACGCCACTTTTTTTTGAATTTTACTGTACCGACGTATCCATATCATATCAATACCCGTACTAGTACCCGTACCCGTACTTCACAGGGCATAACTCATGAAAGTTGGAATGAATCTTGGACTCCCCCTTTTGGTTTGCCTGATGAATGCAGCTCATTTAGCAGATAAAATTTATGTTGCTTTACCTCCATTTTCATTTTCAGAAATCTACATTTGTCTGATTTTTGTGGCTCAACTTTTATAACTAATCAAGATGGATAAAAACAGGTGTAGCACCTGTTGAAGGCACAGGTGCAACAATGTCAGATGATGATGATGACCAAGCAGATAGTGACACCAACTTGTTTGATGGAAGCCTAGATGGGCCAGATAGCATGGGGTTTGGTCCTCTTGTCCCGACTGAAACCGAAAGGTCCTTGATGGAACGTGTGAGGCAAGAGTTGAAGCACGAGCTGAAACAGGTAAAAGATGTTGATGTATCATTACGTTGCTTTAGGTTCTGTTTGTTTCGCCGTAAAATGTTTTACCTTTTAAAATATTTTCATGTAAAACTTTTTACAAGAAAAAATTCTACATTCTTCTTATTTTCTTTTTTTGCATGTAAAATATATATATATATATATATTTTATAAAATAATTAAACTTGTGTAGCTGAAATTGCCTTTTGCCTCCGATCACACCATACGACATCTTTTGAACCCACCACAACGCTCACATACCCAAAAGTCCCTCAAACTCAATTCACACCTCTGCACACACAAGAGCACCATTATCATCCCATCAAAAAAAGAACACCAGTGCCAACTCACATTCACTAACAGCATTCACGGTTGGTAAAATGATTTACTAAAATTAGATTGGCAAGTCATTTTCCTTGATTTGGTGGTAAATATTACACTTGTAAAATGTCTCCCAACCAACCCCAAAAAATTCTGAAAATATTTTCAATCAATCGGAGCCCCTAGGTTGTGTTTGGTTAAATTTTCAAATCAACTTATGCAATGAAAAATCCAAAAACTATGTTTGGTTTACAAATTTTTGAAAATTGTTCTCTCTCTCTCTCTCTCTCTCTCTCTCTTTTACACATCAATCAATCACTTTTTCTCTCTTCTCTCTCATTCGCACATTCTCTCACATTCTACTCATCAATCAATCAATTTTTCTCTCACACCTATCTGTTCAACTACAAAAAAAAAAAAAAAAAAAACTACAAATCATTCCAAAATTATTTTCAAAATATACAACCAAACAAGTTTTGAAATTTTGCAAACTCTTTTCAAAAAACTGTCTTTCAAAATTGATTCTCAAAACTAATCACCAGGGTTACAAGGAGAAGATTGTGGACATCAGAGAGGAAATTTTGCGTAAAAGAAGAGCCGGAAAGCTGCCAGGTGACACCACCTCCCTCTTGAAAGCTTGGTGGCAATCACATTCCAAGTGGCCTTATCCAACAGTAAGTGTTACAGGAGCTCTGCCGCTATCAGTTCATTATAATATTTTTTCTATGCCACTCCCAACTTATATTTTTGTCAAAATACCATTCAGGAGGAAGATAAGGCCAGATTGGTGCAGGAAACGGGTTTGCAATTAAAGCAGATTAACAATTGGTTCATCAACCAGAGGAAAAGGAACTGGCACAATAACCCGTCATCTTCTACAGCTCCAAAGAGCAAACGCAAGAGGTAGGCTGATCATGGCTGTGTATTGTATAAAATGGCATTTGCTCAAAATGCTCTTTTTGCCAACTTTGATTTGGGGGACAAAAAAAAAAAAAAAGTAATGCAGGTGAGACCAGCAATGAACGCTTCATGTAAATGGACGACTTCAAGCCCAAAACCAGGCATCATGTCTTCTTTTGGCTAAAATTAGTTGGATTAAAGCATCACACACTTGGAGCTCGTATGGTGGTATAGAAGATTACAGCAAATTTGAAGAAATTGTTGTCTAATAAAATGAAATTGCTGTTTGATTCCTGCACGTGGTTGACCCAGGCACTGAACAATGCCTGTTGGTAGGTATTCTTGAAGACACATTATACATAACAAGTTTGTAGTACTATCTCATTTATTAGTAGATTTAAATGTTTAGCATATCAAATTCTGAAATAGAAACCACTCAAACTATCAGTTATTTTGTAACACATGCTGGTGGATTTGTATATTTTGGGCTTAGCGTTTTATTTGTGTGAATAAGAATGGCTACATGTTTTGGGTATATAATATATCTCTTCTGGTATTGTTTGAACTGTTCTTTCTTTCTGTGGCTTGTCCAGAGTATAGTTCCTATGAATATAAAATTGATAACTGGAAATTCACATACAAAATGACGTAGTGGATCAGTTGATCATGCTTGCCACAAATATATTAGCTGACTTTTCATTGTTTTTTAATCTGATGACCATAACTATCGTTTGATTCATAGGGGTAAAAAAATTGAAAATAGGGAAGGATGTTCAACCTATTCGATTTATGACTTGGTGTATATATCTTATCATTAGAGAAAGTTGGATTAGGTCGAACAAGTACACCTCTGTGGCTTTTAGAGATAATGGACTGGTCTTTGGTGGCGGAGAAGTTGGCTTCTTAAATTTTATCTTCTTTATGAGGAAAGGTTGAAGGGAGGGACTTTGGCCCTCCGACCATCCAAGAGGGTGGCTTAATTTTCCCTCAAGGACCAGCATGTATCTTTGTCTTTTATTCAATAGTTGTAGAACACCAACATATGGTGGAGACTAGTGAGAATATTTCACGGGATAGGTTGAGTTGATCTGATCCATCTTGGTCAACTCCCCATTGATCCTTTTTTCTGTAGCTGCATATGGGTTAGAATGGGAGTACTGAATGGCAATAGGATTAAATAGTCGTACAGGTTTAATTTGGCAAAATTGCATTAGACATTCTTTTCAAGAAAAACAAATATGGAATTATATGAAGTTTTTACCATTTATAATCCAATATATATAAGTGTTCTCTCTATGATTGTAATCACATCAGTTGAAGAGCATATACCACAATCATCACAAACAAGCTTGCAGTTCATTACTGGAAAAATGACTGGCAAACCTCGATGAGAAACCAAGCAACAAGCCATCACCTTCCCCATCAAGGCCGTGGTCAAAGTTGAGATCATAGCTCTGCGGATCATATTGAAACTGTGTCCTCCTTTTCTTCTTGTTGAAGTACTTGCTGAGCCTTCTGACAAACTTCTTCCACTTAGGGCCTGCTAATAGCTCTGAGGCCTCCTTCAATCTTTTAAGGTTGTTCACCAACCATGTTTCCTTGTGCTCTCCTTCCTGTTCCAACAAACGCCTAGCTTCTCCATCGTTGCTTCGCTGCCGTTCAAAGCAGAACAGCCTAAAACAACCACAACCACTGGCCAAAAAGCCCGAAATAGTCTCTGGGTAGCCATTGTCGGTATCACTGCCTTCTTGTTCATGCTCCTTTGTAGGCGAACTACTACTTTTCGTCATGAAGGTTTGTTTCTCTCGAGGCTTAGATAGAGAGAGAGAGAGAGAGAGATGTTAATTGTTTGTGGGTACTTGTTAAGTGGACACCTTTTATATGAGAGATGTTATTTGTTTATTGTGGGAACGTGATAAGATGGGCACATTTTGTTTGTGGGAAATTGGTAAGAGAGAGAGATGTGAATTGTTTTGGGATTTTATATGGAGAAGGGACGGCAAGAAATTTCAAAGTGCGCGAGAGAGAGAGAGGAGTTTGAAGAGTTCTGATTGACAAGAGGACTCCATGTTGTTTGCTTCATGATAATGAAGTGGTAATAAGAAGTGAGTTTTTTTTTTTTTAATTAATTAATTTTTTGTTTTAAACAAAAATTAAAACGGTACAGAAACTAGGGAGAAAATCAAAATCTTTTGACCTAAGGTGGAATCTATCAAAATGTGTGCAGGATGCCTTTTGAGGTTATCGAGCGTGCCCAACAATTTGGACTCTCAATCTCCTGATTTAGTTTTACAAGTACAATGTGAAACATAAATGACAGGCCAGATCCAGCAATTTGTACAAAAAATTCATTTTATTGCAAAATCTTTACCTGAAAATGGACTACATCACCAAATCTCAAAGTCGCTACGTATGTTGTGTTTGGTTGGAGGATTTGAGAAGGGATTTGGAAAGTGAAATGGAAAATGTAAGTGAAATGTGAATAAAATATACCTATATTTCACCTAATTTCATACATATTTTCATTTTCCTTTTCCAAATCCATCTCCAAATCCCCCAACCAAACACAGCGTTAATCTTTTGAGAAAACTAGGAAACCTGTGTCTCGGTCAAGGAACTTAGGTATGATGGGGAAAGGTCATAAACGGAGTTTTATAGTCTACTAGGTCAAAAGATCGGCCTCTACTAGGTCATGATGTGAGTTTTATAGTCATCATATACTCATGTTCTGGTTATAATAATGGTAGCATTACTATCTGAGGCAAACAAGTATAGATTGTGTCAGTGGTCTTGGTTATATTGTGATTTCATGCATTTTGAAAAATCTTTTTGCACAACTCCCAATAATAAGGAGTTTAGAAGCTTAAGAATCAACCGCATTTGAACACAAGCAGCACAACCTCCATCCACTGGCATTCACATAGATATTCTATTTAAGTATGTAGCCACATGGTATAATGCCGGATATAAAGTAACATTCATATGCAAGATGCTAAAACTAAAAATGCTCACCTAGTATTCCTCCGTGGTAAGACAAAAGAATGTGTTAGAAATATATGTGTGACACTATATACAAATAGCTAATGCAATACAACCACAAAATGCTCCTAAGGACTCGGCTACTAACACGTGTCATGCGTATCATTTCAAGGCATGAGATAGTGCATATAATCATTTGGAAACGATAACTTCTACAAATGTAAATGAGTCGAACCCAGATGCATGAAAAATGAATGCAAGTCATGAATATGATAAATAAAACATGATGTTGCATATACAAAAAGCGTATAAATAAAAGAGATAGAAAGACATGGGGTTGGAAGTTATTACAACAACTGAATAAATGAGGCGTGGGGTTGGAAGGTTATTACAACAATTGAATGAATAGAAGACGTGGGGTTAGAAGTTATTACAACACTTGAACTGATTTAGCCAAACCAAAGCTGAATCTAACAGATCATAATGAAATGAAAGCTGAATCTAACAAATCATATTGAAATGAAAAGCAAACTATAAACAGTAACCACAAATGCTTAGGAGAGCACTTCCCAAAAATTGCCCGGTTATGCTTTGCTCTGTCTGGGGTCAAAGTTCACTATAAAGTCATCCAGCCGAATGAAAAAAGATTCGGTCGGGTATAACCGTCGAGACAAACTCTGTTTTGTGCAATAAAACCAAAGCAGAACCCAAAACACACCTTCTAAGAGTTGCATATCGTTTCTATCCCCTCCCTCTTGCAGAAAACATTCAAGGAATGGGTAGATAGGCCTTAACCCTTATATAATAACATAAAAGACTATACAACAGGTATTTACAACAATTAATCAAATGAAAAAAACTAGGGGTTGGGAGATATTCAAGCCAAAAAAATTAATGAGAACCTACAATCATCTCTTTACGAATAAGGGTAGATTAATACCCAAATTCGTGCTATTAAATGTAGTGAGTAGATTAATACCCACTATTTCTTGGTGGAAACTTTGCCTTTAAAGTAAGAGATTCATCAAAGGTTATTGAAAGACTCTTCTTCTATTCATGGAACAAGGATGTTTCCATCCTTTTCCATGTTCACAAAAGATTGAGGAAAGAGTTCTCAACATCTTTCACCTAAAATCTCTTACTTTACTTCCAAGAAAAATCAATCAAAATAAAAGAAACAACAACCCTCTCAACATCAAATCTAAAGGATCATTCAAATAGCTCCATGCAACAACCACATCCACTCATCAAGATATAGTATGGATTGAAGAACATGAGCTAACATGCTTGAATGGTAGATAAGTGATGAGAAAGTGCAAGAATATGAAAGAAACTACACTTTATAATTAAATTTGTGGATGAGTGGCTACTTTCTAACTCCCAACCCATCCACAAGGTTCCAATCAACACATTTATATACAACAACAATGAATTATACCTCTAAGCAAGAAACGAGTACAAACATATAGAAAATGAAAGAAACAATCTACTCAATGGATGGTGTGGACATCCCATTTTTGACTACCCTCAAGACTTGGGCGCTTTCTTTTGAGTTCTCAATGATGAAAATGAGATGTATTAATCTTACAAGTCCTACAGCGAGAAGCCTAAGAGTCAAAGCTTTAAACCATCCAAATGCCTGTTTTGGACAAAATATTTTTTGACCATAATGGAAATCTCGTTCAAAATGAGTTTAGTGGTGCAATTCCAGACATTACCACAATGTTTTGAGGCTCATATTTTCAAAATCAAAGAGTTGTATTATTTCAAACAAACAAAGCAAAGGATATAGTTGGAATGAATGGAATGGGTGAAATCCTCTAAAACACCTGTTTCTCCTCTCAGTTCAGGCTAGTCCTACCTTGTTGATTCGATGGGGTATTCTTTGACTGGCTGGACAATATATGATGGCTGGTCAAAGATGCATTTGGCGAGACACCAAACGAAACGGCCGGCTAAATGTTCCGAGTACAGAGCATTTTTGGGAATTTCAGTTTGTCTAGCACACTTTTCACAAATATCTCAGATATTTACACCCTAAGCTCTATAAATAGAGCTCGACAGCTCATTTTAAAGTGCTGGAAATTTGCCCAAAGCTCATAAGAGCCTCTTGACCTCTCTTCCTCTTGACTTCACCTCCTACCTAATACCTATTAACTTTGAACACAAGAGCTCCATTGAAGCTTGATCCTAAGCTTCTTGCTAAAACTCTTGGACATTAAACAACACATCTAAGGGACTTGAGGGAATTAAAAGGGGGTTTGTGAATCAAAAGGGCCTATCATCTTTAGGAGGTGATATTCTCATACCTTTAATCATCTTTCTCATTTTCCTTCGTTAATTCAAGCTTTGTTTTCACTATGTAACTATTGTAGAGATGTAACAAGTCCCCATGGATGTGGAGGAAATAGATTTAGCCACCCCTCCATTGAGTCGATAACTTTTCCTTTGTTTTTTTGCTTTCCTTAGCTCTAACCTCTAGTTCTTATGTATTTTGGACCCTTGTGGATATGTTTGGGAGTAACTATTAACCATCCATTCACAAGTTAAATAAATAAAATAGTTTTTCTTGTGGTTACATTGCTCCTCTTTACATATCCTATCTCTTAAGTGCATCAATCTATGTGTTTCAATCTATGTTCAATGATAATGAGTAGAATGGTTTTTTCATACGATTACTTGAGTGATTCTTATGATTTGATGTTGAAAGAGTTGTGTTCTCTTCTTTTTTGTGTGTTTTTGGAAGTAAAACAAGAGATTTTGGGTCAAAGGGTATTGAAATCTCCCTTCTCAATCATTTGTGAATATAGAAAATGGTGGAAACATCCTTGTTCTATGATTAGATGAGGGGCTTTCAATGGATTTGATGAATCTCTTGTTTTAGAAGCAATACTTCCACCAAGAAATTATTTGCATTAATCTACGTTCTCCACTTAATAGCATGAATTTTGATATTAATTTTCCCTTAATCACAAAGAGAAGATATAGGATCCTATCCATTTCTTGGGCTTGAATTTGTTCTTGATTTGATCCATTTGACTTATTTCTTTAGCAAAATATCTGTTGTATATATCTGTCTATGTCATGGTTAAGAGTGGGGGCCCATCTATCCCTTCTCTAAGTGATCCTTATAGGTAGAGGGGGTAGAAGGGGTGAGCACCCCTCAGAAAGTGTCTTTTGGCTTCTGTTATGGAATTTCCGCACTGACCTAAATCCCAACTGGAAGAAGAGTTCTGCCGGTCACTTTCCTATTCGATCGATCCATTTTATGTCTGGTCAGATGACTCATCCCGAGAACAGAGCAAACAGTTTCTAGGGAGTGCTCTCATGGGTAGTTCTGTAGCTCTTGGATGGTTTATTGGCTTTATTTCGTATGATTTGTTAGATTCAGTAGTAGCTTGGCTAAATCGATTCAGTGTTGTAATAATGTCTCCAATCTCCCCTCTCTTTTCTTTTTATTATTTGTTCAAAGTGTTGTAATAATCTCTCTCTCCCCTCGTTTCTTATTTGAATTGTTGTAATAACTTCCAACCCCACGTCTTTCTAACCATTTTATTTGTATGCTTTTGGTATTGCATCATGTTTTATTTATCATACCTGTATATTGCATCCATTTTTCATGCATTCAGGCCCGGTTCATCTGCATTTGTGGAACTTATCATTTTCAAGCTGAATACATGCGTTGTCCCATGTCTTGAGACAATATCCATGTCATATCTTAGTATTAGGACTTTTAGGTGCACGTTGTGTATGCATTACATTAGTCGATTGTATATAAGATCATGCATATATATGCATTTTTTGGGACTTACCTCGAAGCACTAGGTGAGAATTTTTGGCTTTAGCATATTGCATGTGCATGTTACTTATCATGCTTGTTGCTATATCATGAGGCTAAGTGCTTAGATGAGATATCTATTTGAATGCCAGTGGATGGAGGTTGCGTTGCTTGTATTGGAATGTAATTGATTTTTATAATTCTGAGTTTGTACAAAAAGGCTTTTCAAAAGT